GAAAGGAGTGCTAGTGGTGCAACAGTTAAGCGCTCAAGCATTCACTGCTAACCGAGAGGTTGGCAGTTTGAACCTACACATCGGTTCTTTGGGAGAAAGATCTGCTCCTGTAAAGATTACAGCCTAGAAAACCCTATGGGGCAGTTCTACTCTGTCACATGGGGTTGCTATGAGTCAAAATCAACTAGACGGCATCTAACAATAATAATCTTAATGGAGCAGACTGCCAGGCCTTTCTTTCATGGTGCCACTAGATGGGTTCGAATTGCCAACCTTTAGGTAAGTAGTCCAGCGCAAACTGCACCATCCGGGGCTGCTCTCACTCCATAGATGGTGGTTATTATTATCATTACAACTGTCCAAACTTCTGGAGCCCATTGCTCCAGCCCCCTGCTGGACCAGTTCTTCAAGACTCCAGGGGGCGCTGTCAGAAAGTCCTCCCAGGGTCTGACTGTGATTCGGCTTGCTGCTTTCCCACTGAACCGCTTTTTGCTGAGTACTGGGTGGAGTGCAGTGGAAGCAGCTGCCAGAGCTAAGGCCCCTCGAGATCCACAGACTATAGCCCAGCAGAGCCGGCAGTCCGGAATCTGTATCCTGTGCCTCTGGCTCCCCACACTGGAGGCACAGTAAATCCAACCGGAAAACTTGTTGAAGACCCCACAGCCCCACGGGCAGAGAGTCCTGTTGAGGAAGCGGCGCGGGGACTGCCATCAGAATTGGTTAAAAGCTCCCCAGGCGGTTGAGTTGACAGAAGGAGCCCCGGTGGTGAACCCGGTTAAGCTCTTAACTACTAACCTAAAGGTTGGTGGTTCAAACCCAGCTGCTCCCGTGAAGATTACAGCCTGGAAAACCCTATGGGGCAGTTCTACTCTGTCACATGGGGTCACTATGAGTCCTCAGCAGCACCTACCAACAGGTGATTCTAATGCAACCCCATTTGTTTTCCCAAAAAGGCAACTGAAGCCCACAGGGTGAAGCTGCTTGCTGGAGCCTCATGGTAGGAATCCTGCTGGCCCAGGCCCTGCGGCTCCTGGCCCTGGACTCTGCCCCCTCCAGGTGTCTCTTCTCCTTCCTGCTTCTCACGTCACCCACATGGTTCCTCAGAGGCCTGGACCAGCCGCCCCTCATGTCGGCAGGGCCAGTGCTCAAATGGAGGCCACCTCCCAGTCTACAATGTTAGAAGTTCTAAAGTCAGGCTAACAAACTGGTGCATTAGATAATGTCTATCTTTCTGCCTTCACAGACCTTCACAGACCTTTTTAAGGTCTGGAAGGCCAGATCTGCGCTGAAACAACCGGGGGTCCCCCAAAACTGGCCCTGGCCCCATATCTCCGCCACTGAACATACTAGATGTTTTACTACTTTTATTTGTTGTGCAGTACCTGGGTGGCACAAGTGGTTAAGCTGTGGGCTACTAACCAAAAGGTTGGGGGTGTGAACCCACCCAGAGGCACCTTGAAAGAAAGGCCTGGTGATCTGTTTCCAAAAGGTCATAACTATGGACACTTTATGGAGCACAGTTCTACTCTGACACACATGGGGTCGCCATGAGTTGGAATCAACTTGATGGCAACTGGTTTGGTTTTATTTTTGTTTGTTGTTGACTCGAATGTGAACCCCATGAGGGTAGGGACTTTGTCTTTCGTGTTCACTGCTGATTCTTTAGTGCCTACAACAGGGCTGGCACAAAGAAAGGATTCAAATACTTGTTGAATTAAAGAAAGAATTGGGTTAAACGAATTGGATTTAAAAAAAAAAACAAAAAAACTTTAGGCCTTCCCTTTGAAAATGCAAATGTGCCAGGGCAGGAAAAGCTATCCCCAAAGGCCCAGGACAACACCAGCTGTGTGCTGGTGAATGTTTAACAAGCAGTTCTGATGGGAAGGTGGAGATATATAAATGTGGACATAAGTTTATTATAAATTTTACCAACATAAAGGGTGAAGTCCTTGGGTGGTAAAATGGTCAGTGTGCTTGACTGCTAACCAAAAGGTTGGAGGTTTGAGTCTACTCAGGTGCCTCGGAAGAAAGGCCTGGTGATCTACTTTGGAACAGTCAGCCTTTGAAAACCCTATGGAGCACAGTTCTACTCTGATACACAGGGGGTTGGCATGAGTCAGAATCAACTAGATGGCAACTTTTTTTTTTTTTCAAGAATATGTAGCACAGAATTTACAAATAGTAATAAGATGCATAGTATTCTTTATTATAAATTTCACCTAGTCACCTGATGATCACAATTGAATGTTGCCAACTGCTTGTATCCGTAGCCAACATATAGTTGCGATTCAACCATGATTTGACAGCTGGAGTTGAGGCCAATGGCTTTTCCCAAGGAATGTACTGTTATTAAATCCGGCATGTGAGCCACTGTTAAACTATTTTTCACCCTGTACAAATTATATTCGTTAAACTGAAACCTCTTTCAAAAGCTTTGGCACCACTGACTGCAATAGAGCTATCTTTGTAGCTTCTTGATAGATGCAGAGATTGGGATATTGTTTGAGTCTACATTATTTAATAATGGCTGGGTTTAACAACCAGCTCACAAACTCTTGAAAATGTACCAATCAGCTCCAGCACACACTTGGTGGCACCCGCCCTGCACCCGGCCCAGGGTCAGGCCATGACATATCCCCTCTGTCCCTCATTCACAGCAGCCTGGCGAGGTGGTGTATCACTCTCCCTGTTTCACAGATGAGAAAACTGAGGCTCAGGGGTGACGACCCCAGGTCCTGCTGCCTCCAAATTCTCTGTTCTTCCCACTCCAGCAGGCTACCCTGTCCAGTTTGTCATGCGATTATTAAACATTTGTGGACTCTTGGCGCCAGAGGCTGGATACAAAGAGCAGCTTACACCTTTGC